CTCAAGGAAACTGGCAAGGCAGCTTGCAAACCTGCTAGTACCCCATTAGAACCAAACCTAAAGCTTGGAAATGCAGAAGAAGATGTTGCTCGTTGAAAAAGATATGTACCAAAGATTAGTGGGCAGATTTATATATTTGTCACATACCAGGCCGGATATTGCCTATGCAGGTGAGTTTAATTAGCCAATTTATGCATAGCCCAAAGGAGACCCATTTACAAGCTGCCCACGTAATTTTACGAGTACCTTAAAGGAACTCCAGGAAAAGGGATTCTATTCAAAAGGAATGGTAATGTGAAACTTGAAGCCTATAATGATGCCGATTATGCAGGGTCAATTGTGGATAGGAGGTCAACTACAGGATATTGCACCTTTCTTGGAGGAAATCTTGTGACTTGGAGAAGCAAAAGCAGGGTGTAGTGGCTCGGTCCAGTCGTTGAAGCGAATTCCGAGCCATGGCACAAGGTATATGTGAGTTGCTATGGCTTAAAATCATCTTAGAAGACTTGAGGATAAAGTGGGAAGAACCTATGAAGCTCTATTGTGATAATAAGTCAGCAATCAGTATAGCCCACAACCCAGTGCAGCATGATAGAACAAAGCATATTGAAGTAGACAGACACTTCATCAAAGAAAAGCTTGATAGTGGCTTGATATGCACTCCATATGTGTCCTCTCAAGACCAAATTGCGGACATTCTTGCCAAGGGACTGGGCTGCCATAATTTTGAGAAGATTGTATCCAAGCTGGGAATGGAAAACATCTATTCACCGACTTGAGGGGGAGTGTGAGAAATCAAATAGTATTTTAGGAAAGAATAAATAAGGAAATTTGTATATTTCCTTGTAATCTGTCATGCATTTGAATAATTAGGAACAATCCCATAAATCAAGGGATCCTAGCATAAAATAGAGTTATTATATTTCCTAAAATAGTTTAGGTCTCTTGTATATATCTTATATCATCTCTTTGTATTGATATAATAAAAAATCATATTTCAGTTAATCTATTTTTCAAGAATTACCATTCCCAAAAATGTGACGGAAGCACTTAATCATCCTGGATGGCGACAAGCCATGATTTCATAAATGCAAGCTCTTGACCAGAGTAATACTTGGGAGTTAGTTTCCCTCCCACTTGGAAAAAAGGCAGCGGGGTGTCGATGGGTTTATACCGTTAAAGTTTGTCATAATGGGGAAGTCGATCGTCTCAAGGTACGATTAGTTGCAAAAGGGTACACTCAAATTTATGGCATCAATTATAGTGATACTTTCTCTCCAGTGGCCAAGATGACTACCATCCGCCTCTTTTTTTCCATGACAGCAATTAGTCATTGGTCACTCCATCAATTGGATATCAAAAATGTCTTTCTACATGGTGACCTTGCAGAGGAAGTATACATGGAGCAACCTCCTAGGTTCGTTGCTCGGGGGGAGTCTGGTAAGGTTTGTAAGTTGCGTCGCTCTCTCTATGGCCTCAAACAATCACCACATGCTTGGTTTGGTAAATTCAACTCAGTTGTTCAAAAAAACGCAGTGAAGCATATCATTCAATTTTTTATTGTAATACCCATCTTAAGAAATGTATTTACTTAATAATCTATGTTGATGATATAGTCATTACAGGAAATGATGTGGCCGGAATATCTCAATTGAAGGAGTACTTGTGCAAACATTTTCAAACCAAGGATCTTGGGACTCTTAAATATTTTTTGAGCATTGAGGTAGCTCAGTCAAAAGATGCGGTTGTTATCTCTCAGAGGAAGTACACTTTTGACATCTTACAAGAGACAGGTATGCTTGACTGTAGGCCAGTAGATAGTCTTATGGACCAAAATCAAAAACTAATGACGGAAGAAGGTGAATCATTACCTAATCCAAAAAGATATAGGCGGCTAGTTAGAAAGCTAATTTATCTTACTATTACGAGACCTGGTCTATCTTTTGCAGTTGGAGTGGTTAGTCAGTTTATGCAGACCCCATGTATTGGCCATTGGAATACCATCATTCGTATTTTAAGGTATATCAAAAAGGCTCCAAGACAAGGTTTGTTATTTGAAGATAAAGGAAATGTCCAAGTCTACGGATATTGTGATGTTGATTAGGCAGACTCCCCAACTGAAAGACGTTCTACTATGGGATATTGTGTTTTCCTTGGAGGAAATATTATCTCATGGAAAAGTAAGAAGCAAAATGTAGTGGTCAGATCAACTGTTGAAGTTGAAGGGCAATGGCATTTCTTACTTGTGAACTTATATGCTAAAACAATTCCTTCAAGAGCTTAATTTTTGTGAAGTCCAAACCATGAAAATATATTGTGATAACCAAGCTGCTCTCCACATCACGTCAAATCCTATATTCAACAAAGGACCAAACACAGAAATTGATTACCATTTTGTTCGGAAAAAATTATTGTCCAAAGAAATTTGTACTGAGTTTGTTGGATCAAATGACCAACTTGCAGATATGTTGACTAAGTCCTTAAGAGGACCTCAGATTGAGTTCATTTGTTCCAAGCCTGGTACATATAATTTGTATGCTCCAGCTTGAAAGGAGTGTTAGAATAATTATTAAATCTATGTGTAATCATTAAGTCTAAGTAGGAGGTAGTGTGTTGGAAATATCTACTAGTTGTCCTACTGTTATACCTAGTTTTGTACCTAGGTGTCTAGTGCGACCTTAGATCTTCTATGCTCTCTTGTATCAGACTTTTCAACATAAATAGAAGATGATTAAGAGGGGTGATTAAGCCCTCCAAACTATATTTTCCTGTTTCTTAACGTTAAGTGTTACACAATTAAGAAAGATTATGATGGTGAACATTTTGAAATCAAATGCAGTATATGTTGACTTAATTTCAATGGTCTTACACTATAATAAAGGTTCACTTGTTAAAAAAGACAAGTTTTTTTAATCAAAAAGAAACAAGAATGTTGTTGCATCACATGTTGGTAGTCATCCCAACCAGGATAGCACCACTAACAAAAGATAACTCCTTTAAGACTTGCCGAGCTGAAAGAGTTGGACAATCATGAAAATAAGAAGTAAGAAAAACAAAATTTTCCTTTATCTCCCGTGTCTAATAAAAGTCAAAAGAAACAGAAAAAAATACAACCAAAGTTTCCTATCATCTATTGTACTCCATGTGTTGAGCACATATTGAATCTTGCATTGAAAAATATACATGCAGCCATGAACACGGAAAATTGGTAAAATATGTTGCTTATGTTAAAAACTTACAGGTCACACTCTATGAGATTATCAATATTCAACAACTTCAACTTGTTGAAGTTGGTTTCTCTTGCTCACACAAGATTTTCTCCACATTAGTAACGTTCAAGAAGTTTAGGAATGTGAAAAATGGACTCCAGGAGACATTTATCAGTGACCAATAGTCTTCTTCAATGCAGGATGAAGTTGGAATGCAAAATTTGTGAGAGAAACATTGTTGGATGATATTGGGTGGGATAAGGTTGATTATGTTGACTCTTTAAGGGATACAAGTCAAATGGCGCTCATGCACCAATACTTTGAAATATTTCCCTTAAGCAACTTGAGAAACCATGTTCATCTCATGTTGTAAAAGAAATTAGAGTATATAGTCTTTCATTCATTCTATAAGACGAAATCATTGCACCTCATAGGACAGAGGATCCAGCATTGGTTCATAGTAATCTTTCTCTCCTTTGAAAATATTCCCCACAATAGAAGAAACTAAAATATGGGGCATTAGAAAAGGTATATTTCGTTCACTAGATAACAATGGAATTCTTGTAGTTGCTACTTTATCTCTTGATGAACCAAAATTAGAAGTTATGTTTTTCCAAGATGATAACCAAGAAGGAAAGGAAAGGGCTTACATAGATTAATATTAGCAAAAAAATTTGGATTTTTCTTTTCAATTTGGTTACTCGTAATATTTCTTGTCTTGTGAGACTCTTTATTATGATGGTTTCTCTTAGATTTTATGAATTGTGGAATATGATATCTCTTGGTACCATTTTTGTGAGGCAAACATACTATGAAAATTGTAATGCTTAAATTGTTTAATGATGAATATCTAAACATTAATTATCATTTTTATCTTGTTTATCATTATATATATATATATATATATGACTCATCCCATTTCCAATGTGTTAGATTTTAGCTATGTCTCAATGTCCATGTCTGTATCGTGTTTGGTGTCCATAATCGAGTCAATGATTCATAGCTAGTGTCAAAGCTCCAATAATTGGATCTATTAATAAATCTTTGTGTTGTGCAAGAAACAAGGAGGGTTCGCGATGTGGCATCTATAATGGATACATTGAAAAGTCAAAATGGAGTCCACCTTCTGCAAGCCCATTGTTAGTTATTGCTATCTCGTTCTAAACTCAACTTTCTTGCATTGTTTATGGTCAAAACAGAGTCCACCTTCCGTAATCTCTACTTCAGGGAAACACTGTTTGGACTGTATTCAAATTCAGAAAACCTTGCAGAGACACCTTATGCATGCCCTAACCACTAACCAGAACATAACTAGATATTTTATCCTTTAATCGATACCTCTGTCAACCAAATTTTGTTTATCCTACGCCTTCCCTAAACTAAGTACCGATTATTAACCCCACCATGAGTAATTCTCACATATTCCATCACATAAGTTACACGAGATCTTATGGGTTCAAATACATTATCATTAGCTTAACCCCGCACCTAACGGACTCTGATCCCATATTTTCGGTTCACTCTATTTTCCCAGACAAATAACTCAGCACAGCAAATAGTTCAACTTCCAAAAAATAAAAAAATAAAAAATTATGGTGATCCAACTTTCATAAAAATGAACTCCATCACGTAGTTTTCTCCCTTTTTATCTGCGTGTCGTTTCAACTTGTCTTTTCAATTTCGGTTAACTACTGCCTAAGCTCAATGGAAGAATAAAAGTCGATATATATATATATATATATATATATGAGAGAGAGAGAGAGAGAGAGAGAGAGAGAAGGTTACAGTAACCTGAGGCTGAAGAGCTACTTGTACCATTGGCAATAGTGTCTGAACTATCATCCGTGTCCTTGCCGTTTCCGGGATCCTTGTAAGAAGAGTGCCGGCAATCTTCCGGCAAGTCTGCCATTGCCGGCGATCTAGATCAGTCGCAAGCACAGTTTCAGAGGAATTGCAGAAACGAAAAGAATAGAGAGATCGAATGGTGGGTATCGATACTGTCACGAAATTGGAACCGGACCTCGTGTTTGTAGGGGAGGGAAGAAGACACGTGTGCGCGACACGGGTGTGGAATGGACAGGTAGGATATAAGGAATATCTTTTAATATAATAATCACTTACTAAAATTCCAATTTAATAGAATTTAAACAAAGACGTGATAGTTTTATTATTTATTATTTTTTAATAAGAATATTAATTAACTTTTTGAATTTTAAAACTTATTAATTTTGAAAATATAATAATATAATCTTTCTTATATTAATGATTTTATTACCTATTAAATAAAGATAATTACATTGTAAAAAAATAAATAAAATTCAAAAAGTAAATAAGTATTAAAAAATAATATAAAAATATATTTTATCTTTCACATATTTTTTAATAAGAAAATTTGTATATATTATTATTAAAATATTATTTAATTTATATATAAATGATACTTTAATCATAAAATAGTAGAAATCTATTTAAAAAATAAAAATTAAAAAAAAAAGCAAATAATTTGATGAATGTCTAGTTATTTATTGACTTATTTAAAAAAAAAGTATATAGGATAAAAGAAAAGATCATTCCATCGCATATCTTTCTTATTTTCCAGGTCCCCCGACTTTACAGGCTGCGGCACTCGATTCCATTTGATATTTTTTGAACAAATTGCGAGATAAAGGGAAACGAAGTCCGCGTTGTTCGGTGGGAAAAATATCTACTTAATTTGTTAGTTTGTTTTTAAGGAAAATAAAATCAGTTAGGTTACGTACATCCGTTATAAAAAATTTGTGTGATGAATTAGTAATTTTAGTATGATAATTCGTTTTGATTCATTTTATTTAATTTTTTATTCATCTTATTTAATTTATCATTTGACGATTAAAAATGATAATTCGTTTTGATTCATTTTATTTAATTTTTTATTCATCTTATTTAATTTATCATTTGACGATGAAACGAAATAAAATGGACTGATCGGTTTAAAAAAATATATTTATATATTAAAATTAAAATATTATAATTAAAAATATTATATATTTTTTATTAAATTATTAAAATATATAAATATATTATAATATTATAATATTAAAATTTAAATTATAAAAATTAATTAAATTTAAACTATTGATTATAATTAATTATTTTAATAATTAAATATAATAATTTTTTAATTTATTTAATAAAAATATTAATTAATAAATAAAATTTAAAAATTATTTATATAATCAAAAATATATTTTAAAAAGATATATATAAAAAAATTATTAATAGACTGACTTTTAACCCATTCTTTAATTAGGGAGTTGGACCTATCATTTATTCTAGTTATATAAGTCAATATGTCTCATCCGTTTTTTTTTACACACTAAATATGAAATGAGTCAAAATAGATGATTAACCACACGTAACATCCTATTTGTTTTCAACCCGAACAAAACACGTCTTTCATGTAAAATATTACATAAACTAAAATAAAAATTAGGGATCATTTTTTTAATAATAAAATAAAGATGATAAATCTAATTATCATAATTTTTAATAAGAAATAAAATTTATGACACAGAAATGTGGAAAATAAAAACTCAAACGACTTATCTATTGGTAGGTAAAAAGCTGCACGACTTGTTAGTATATACTGTATGATTTTTATTTTTATTTTGCTTAGAAAAACGTATAGTATCAAAGTAAAGAGGAAGACAAAAGTATAGAGAATTATTTGTTTATAAATAACTTCAATTAACTATAGTCCACCAGCATTAATGAATTTGATAAATAACATGAATTAGTATTTATCTCAAAAAGAATCATAATATTTAAAGAAAAAATTTAAAATTTAAAAGAAGATGATAACAATACTATCGTAAAGGAAAAAAAACAATATATATATATATATATGTATATATATATATATATATCAAATATTAAAAATAAGATAAATAAAAAAATTGATGAGACAAATTTTATTTAAAGAAATATATTGAGAGAGAAGTTTGATGTCCACATGAAAAAACCTAAATATATCAAACTTAGATGAGAAGAAGAAAAAACTACCTTATGTCTCATAATAAATATTATGAGAAATGTATTTTGCCAACTCCAATCAAACATACATCCTATCAATAACTGATTTTATTAATTTTATAATAATAAAAGTGGTTGATTAAAATATATATATATATATATATATATATATATATATATATATTTGTTGTCATTTTGGTTACAATTAATACATAATGTTATTTTTGACAATCCTGTAAATACCTCTAAGTTAAAGAATCAGTATTATCTATCATTTAGATGTTTCTAACTTTTTTTAATACACTTAAGTTTCTTCAAGGGTTAAAAACAAAAGTTTGATAGAAAATATTAAATTACAACTCTCATAAAGATGATATATTCTTATATACAAAACAATTAACAGAAGAAGAATATATAAATAGAAGTTTATATATATGAGCAAAAATATAGAAGCTATAATATAAAAATTATATTGATAGTTATTTCTCTTTTAGACATGTTCTTGTTAAACATCTTTATTTATATCCTTTAAGTAAAACTAACCATTATGAGATGTAAAGTTGTGGTTAGTAATAGCTTGTCTGACCTTAAACATTGTCTCTAGGGATTTTAGAATATGCAACAGTTTTTGTGCATCTTTTGGAGAACGATGTTTAGAATAATATATTTGAGTCGTATTGCTTTTATTTGCATAGGTCTTCAAATACTTAAAAAGGAAAATTTCAAAATATTCTAAGTTTCTAAAAAAATTTTAATGTAATGACAACGTAGGTGGCTTCTCTCAAAAACATATATCAATTGTATTTAGTTTTTTATATGCTTTCTATACAAGTTAAATTAGGGATTTTTGGAATTAAACTCAAACACAATTAAATTTTAACCAAAATTGAATCAAAAGTACATCAAATTGAAATGTAAATAGAATTGAAATCAAAACACAAACATGAAACTGAATTCAAAGAAAATACAAAACCGAATTCAATAGAACACAAAAATTAAAATTGCATTGAAATGTAAACAGCAAGAAATGAAACCACAATTAAATTAAAATGCAAACATTAAACCGAATTGAAAATGAGAAATAAAATTGAAACACACAAACATTAAAATTGAATAAAATGCAGAAATTGAAACATCAACCTATAACTTTAGATGCATATAAATTTAAATATTATTGTGTATAATGAAATATCAATCCAAATTCGAACAAATTTAAATAATGAGATCAAACAAGAATAATCTAATTTGTAATTGATTATAAAACCAAATTTCAATTGAAATCTAATTTAAATTCTAAAAATAGCAAAGTAAATCATAACCACTGTGATTATAAGAATTAGAGAAAAGATAAATAAAGTCCAAGTGTATGTGTAAATTGAAGAAAGATTTAGCTCTCCATTCATATAAAGGTTAAGAAGATGAAAAGATAAAATGAGAATAGAAGAGAGAATCTTAAGAGGCATAACAAAAAATGAATTAAAGCATGTAATTATTATGTCACTTTAGTATTTAAAGTGTCTGTATAATGCTTCAATAGATGGAAACAAATAATCTTAAGTTTGAATAAAAATGGGTCTCACAAATCTAATTATAAAATATAATTTTGTATACAAAATTTTCAGTTTTTTTATCTTAATTTCTAAAAATTATAAAAAATAGTTTTGTACTCCAAATTCAATTTCTATATATGTAAATTGAAGTCTTAGAAAAAATAAATTTAATGAACAAGAATTAGTCAAAAAAGATATTTACAAACAATGGTCAAAACAATAAACAAATGTCAAAACAAGAGAATATAAAATTGAAACATTTATTTAGCGTAAATCCAATTTTATTAGATACGACAAACATGTAAGAAAAAAAAACAATGAAGTGTAGAAAGATACTTAGAATGTAAAATAATTTTTTAAATGTGAATATAAAATATGTGATATCAAATATATGTTTGAGTTGAATTATTTTCTACATTTTTACAACCTAAATTTATATTTTTGTGATCTTGTTGGATATATTTTTTTAAGCTCACCTAATTCATTACTAGTGATCATTTACCTATAAGTCCTCTAAATCTCATTTATCCTTTTCTCTCTTGCTTGAAGCTTGGTCATGTTCTAGTTGAAACACTTCCTTAGATTTTACCATGACTCATAACTACATCAGATCTCAAGAAGAATATCAGTTTTAAGGCATCTAGTGGTGAATCATCTAGTAAAGCTTTCACATCTTGAGTGTGTGATGCTTATGGTGAGTTCAAGGCTTGTTTGGTAGTTGATGACCATCATCAAAAGGAGGTGATGAATTACAACGATATATTTTTCCTATAGTTAGGTACAAACTCAATGGTGTTTTACTTGTTCTAGTAGCAATGTTAAAAAATAAGTTTGAATAGCTGGATGTGAAGACGTCCTTCCAATATGACCAACTAAAGGAAGTCATTCTGATGAGATAACTACAAGATTTCAAAGTACAAGGTAAGGTATAATTGCAAGATGAAGTGGTCACTTTATGAGTTGAAACAATTTCCTAAGCAATGGTACAAGTGATTCGATCAGTTCCTCATCTCTTAAAGGTATGTTCAAAGTCATTATGATCCATGTGTCTATCATAAAAAGATGAAAGAAACTTTTATTTATCTATTGTTATATGTAGACATGTTAATTGCACACACACAAAAAAAAAAGAGGATTAAGATAACAAAATTTGATCTTACTTCTTAATAATGAATTTAAGATGAAGGACATAGGTGTTATCATGCTGAGAATAAGTTTTTTTTTCCTCTAAGGGGTACATCCAAAAGGTGTTAGAGATGTTTTGTGATGGAACTTCTTATGTCCATTAGCACACATTTGACACATCAATTAGTTTTTTTCTTTTAATGCTACTCATACATAATTTGAGAAGGAATATTAGGTTTGTGTTTCTTATAAAAGTGTAATAGGAATTCTAATGTATGTTATAGTATGCACTAAACTTAACTTGGCACAAATAATTAGTCTAGTGAGTAGATATATGAGCAATCTAGTGAAATAATATTGAGGATGTATATCTATATACTTGAGGGTAATTAAAGACATTTAGTATCATCTTTAAGGTGATTCGTAATGTGTTTTAGAATGTATCTTTTATTTCAATTATGTTGTAAACTTGGAGGCAAGGTACTTTATTCCAAGTTATGCTTTTAAATTGTCAATTTTTTAATCAATAATAAAGTTACTATCTAACTTATAATAGCCTTATCTACTATTAAAATTGAGTACACGATAAAATTACATATTAGCTTTAGAAAGGGGAATATGAATAGTGCAAAAAAAATTCACATTTATAAGATGATTCAAATGTATAATCTGATCATAGGTTGATCAATTAATCCAAATATATAGTTTGATAGTAAGTTTGACTAGACAATTAAAGATGTCCTCGCAATAAAAAAATTTCAAATATTTTTCAAAACAAAAAAAAACTCTTTTAAAACAAATATTAAAAATGTGAATTGAGTAAACTAGAAAGAAATAATTTATTTTTATACTAATTTATTCAATTTGAATTACATTATCTTCCTCTAACAAATTATAAGAGGATTTTACTATAATTAATTAATTAATTTTAATTAAGTATTATTCATTAATTTATAACTTAATAATGAATACATAATGTCACTTTTAATAAATTTTTAACTCATCTTAAGTATTATTCGATTTTGTATGAAAAAGTCATCCAAATCAACTATAAAATTTCAATGTGGTTTAGTTTAGTTTAATTTTAATTTTAAAAGAAATCAGAACCAAACTAAACCAATAATTTACAGTTTGATTTAAGTGATTTTTGTAGTTAAAATACTTGTTAAATATACAAATATATGTTTTCACATTCAATAATAACAATATATGTTCTAATTATAATAAACTAAAATTAGATGTCAAAAAAAATTATATATTTTATATTGTATAAAATAATAACTAATATTCTAAATCATAAGATATAAGATATAATGAATTAGTAGTTTAAATGAATATTTCTTTATATAAATGTTATGCATTACCATAGTAGATTTTGTTCTTACATTGTTGCACTTACGATTTAGTTACTACAAATAATAATGTGTTGTCCGATACAGTGTTGAGTTACTGCTAGGTTTCATTGGGATAAAATTGTATAATTGGAAGTTGGATGGTTATATTATATTTTATTTCGTTGGCATAGATTTGAATAATTAAAATTTAGATTATCTTGCTTTATTGACTCATTTTCAAGTCACACTCATAATCATCGTTTAGTATATTGAAAATTATAGTTTTTTTTTTAATGGTTCGATTTTTAACACTTCTATTCGTAAGACACAAGTTCACTAGGTATTTTTGCATGATGAGTATTTTTTTTCTTTTTTTTTACAAAGTTATTGATACCTCTTTGAGTATATAAAGTCTATCTAAGCAAAAAAAAAAAAATATGGTAAAAATTACAAGTAGTCAACTCTCATAAAAAGGATATGGAATATTGCTTGTATACAAGAGATTAAATTTCATAGGGCGAAAGATTAACAAATAAAATTATTTCTTAAATTTAAGAAATAAATGCTATATCTTTACAAAAGATTTTTGTAGAATTTCTTCGTTATAATTTTTTCACATCTCTGCATTACTCTCTTCTCTATATTACTTCGTATCTATTTCTAATCAACATGTACAAATAATTAGGTTTCTATAGAAAAAGATTGTCATCTTCTATGATAGTTTTAGAAGGATCTAGCCAAGGATAATATGCATAATAGAATATTAAAGCCCACAAATAATATCTCATTAAATTTTAAATTTATTTTTCCACGAATGAGGATCCATATCTATTGTTTTATCCTTATTGAAGTCCACTCCTATAGTTTGCTACATCCTTATCAAATTCTTTGCCCATTTTTAGATGTTTTTTTCATATAGATTTTTGGCAACTTGTTCTGCTTATTATGTTGTTCCCTATATTCATCCAACGTTGTGAAACATTATGACCAATAGAATCCCAATCATTACAGAAATTAGGCAATGCCTCGTAGAAAAGAAAAAAATCTCCTTCAACCAAAATTTGATCTAGAAACTCATCTTAAAGGTCAACATCCACAAGAAGATGTGTAAAATGGCTATAGGTTTGCTCTAAATTAGCAGAACAAATGGAAGTAGGTACTCCAACTCCCGCGGCTATAGCATACAAAACTTAAATCCAAACATACATATGAGTGTCGTAATTAGTGTCTTAAGATTAACATTCGTTTTCCATAAAGACATTCTCAATAAACTTAAATCTCAATATTTTGCTCCTTTGTGGATAATCTAACATGTATAAAATATAAAAATATTACGTGTCAGTTAAATATAAAAATGTTACACTATTATATATTATATTAACATTTGTATCATATGATACTTATAATCTATTTGTATTATATGATATTTATAATCTTTTTCTATTAGATTTGATAAACAAATTCATTAATTAAAAATTAAGATAAATAAAAAATGTATTATGATAATTATGAATTATTTATAATATAATTTATGACGGTCTATTTGTCTTTTTTTATGACACAATTTCTTGTTAAAATAGTAGTTTTCCGTCTTCTTCAATAATGTTAAATCTTCTCTGTCTACTTTGTCACCTCCCTTTATGTTCATTTTCCATTTTTACCATTGTATTGAACTAACGCTGTTTATAAATATATACTTGTTTAGAAGGTTGGAAGTCAAAACAATAGGGATTTGGGTAGTGAAGTTTGGGGTTTTAGGTAATGGGGAAAAGGTATTTGATTAAATGTCTATGAGAATATTTTGTTTATCCTTTGACCTTGAAGAGTATGAAGTTTGAATTCTAAGAATTTTAATGATGTATGTATAACCTTGATTAACTTTCTTCTTTCAAGTGTGACGAGTCAAGCATGCAGTTTTTAGAACTTACCAAAACATTTTTTAATACAATGAATACCAAAACATTTTTGAAAATTCGAAAAACTTACTTTTATAACGTATTAATCGATTGTCTTAAGTTGAAACATTATAAACTCGCAAATAATCAATTATCCATAAATGAAACTTATCTAATCGTTATAGAAAAATATTGGTAACGTAATTAATACTCGAGTTGGCAGAGAGACATCTGAACGAAAATTGGGGTGGAGGTTTTTCTCCGTAGATAGCAAGTCACCCTCCCAATTTGACAGAAAATCCCACAAGTAAAAACTCACCCTTAAACAGACGGTTGGTGCCGACAACAAACATAACAAGAACAAACCCGACAACATAAGGTAAGAACAGTTGGAAACCCGAAAACATGAAACGAAACCATATTTCCCACAACCACCACCACTCCTACCGACCACGCAAATGGGTGATGATCATCCCCATTGTCATATTATGCATCGTCCTCCTACTACTTATTCTCGGCAAACCCTCTTCTTCTTCATCATCTTCTTCTGCAACATGGTCTTCTTCTAGGCTCAATTTAACGGAAGAAGTAGGAGTGGATCTTCCGAGATTGGCGTACATGTTGACGGGCACTAAAGGAGAGGAAGCGCAGCTTAAGAGGGTCCTTCAGGCAGTGTATCATCCCAGGAACTACTACCTGCTCCATCTCGATCTAGAAGCTTCTGATGCGGAAAGGCTCGAGCTTGCCAAATACGTCAAGTTGGAGACTGTGTTTGCGGCGTTTGGGAACGTCATGGTCGTGGGTAAGTCTGATTTAGTCACCTACAAGGGCCCCACCATGATCGCTTCCACTCTTCACGGGATTGCCCTGTTGCTTAAGAGGGTTCCTCACTGGGACTGGTTTCTCAATCTCAGTGCCTCTGATTATCCTCTCCTCTCCCAGGACGGTCTGTCACTCCTCTTTGCTCTTTAAATGTCTAGTGTTACACTGTTTCAAATGCTTTGCATATTCACCCAAATAGTCCACAAATGGGAAACAGTTAGAATTGGCTTTGATTTCAAACTCAAATTTTAGGATTCTACTAGAATTTGTCTTTCTGGTTGTTCTTAAAGCATTTCCAATAAAAGTTGCTTACAAAAGTTCTTTAAATAAAAAAAACTTGAGTTCTTAAAATTGAGGAGAGAGATTGGATACAACACTTATCACTAGGCCAAAATATATAGTTTTTAAATCAGGATGCAATGCAGTTATGTCAAAGCTATAGTTTATACTCGAGATGCAACTCTTTATACTTAAAAGCGTTTTAGCTATGGCATAACTGATGCAAGTTGTAACAATCTTCCCTTTAACAATTGGCCCATTGGAATTTGAACTTGATCACGACTTGACCTACCTATCTATGTCACGGTTGATGCAAACTACAACAATTTCCTCATTTGTGATTGTCTCCTTGGGAATCGAATTTGAAACAAGACTTTGATAACAATTCTTGGATTGAGCGCTTAGCATTAGACTGAAAACTATAACATATAGTTAGAGTATAAGTCTTTTTACTTAAGAGTATAACAATCCAAATGTCAATATTCAATTGTGTCTTGACCTACCTAATCTATCTTTGTCATGCTACAAACTCAGAACAATCTCCCTCCAACAATGACATTGTGACTTGATCCGTCTAACCTCTGCCACAACATAGTTGACGCATACCACAATAAAGAGTTGATTTTGTAAGTAATTTATGTTTACAGGACCTATATTAAAATAATATTTTTATTAACAAAGAACTGTTACAAATAACTTCTATTGAAAATGTTCTTAGGTATATTAGACCAACTATTATTATGAAATTATTGAACCACCTCGAGATAACCAACCTTACTAGTTCTCAATGCAAGGGGTGTGTGTGCACATGTTGACCAATACAATAGTCAAAATAGTGTAGAATCCCTCCATTCCCAAATGATATCGCTCTTAGTCTTTTAACAAAATTCATTTATGTTCTAACTTTTTAATTAAATATTGATTTTTTTATTTATTTCTAATACGTCCCTGAATTAATTACCTTATCTTTCTCAATAAAAGTAGTGCGTTTATTGAGAATTTTGGATTATTTCAGTAAAATTGTTTCAAAAAGTGGTATATTTGTTGTTATTCTTAATCCAACCGTGAAAAAACTTAAACTTTCAGTTATTGTGGGAAGGAAGGAGTATGAAAGAAGGAAGGAGTATGAAAGTAGGAATCAATCCTCATCAAATAAACTAAATTTTAGCCTTTAGTTAAGCTTAAACTTATTTCAAAGATGATGATGGTAGTTACTAACTCAAGAGTGATGAATGATACATAAATTAGTTATGTTTGTGGATCTTTTACAGGCTTTGTTGGTTCTGGGATAAAGTATATAGTGATGGGATTTGTGATTTGCATAAATGATTTTGGTGTGTAACAATGGTTCGATAGATTGTTCATATCCTCCTCGACTTCAAGCTAGAATCACCTGGGCAATTCATGAATCGTTATTGTTGTGCTTTATGATTAGACTATACAATAACAACAACAAAGTCTTGTGCAACTAGGAAAGGTTAGTTACATGGATTACAAGTCATTTAGCTCGGTTAAAGACTAAATCTTCAGAGGTTTTATTTACCATGAGACGACTTTTAGTAACTTCCTTTAAAGTCCTTTTTGACCTCACTGGTTTTCTTTTCACATGACCAAACACCATAAGGTTTATGTTCTTCACCGGAATATAAGTAAAATTCAATTTTCTAAATGGATTCTCCCGACATTTTATTTACAGTAATGTAGTTTTCTAAATCCAATTCCTTTCCACGCTTCGGGTATAATTATCAGAAGCAGAACTTAATTACATGTTCAGTGATTTCACCATGTGTGTGACAAGCTTGCATTAGTTTGTGATTTTCTTAGCCTTTGGCACCCCCGCTTGTCACCAAAGAAGAAAAAGGACATTCTAATGCTGAAGCTGTGCTGGTGTGTATGGTAAGATGTACTTAATTAATGTCACTTACATAAGTTGGATGAATTTTATGCAAGCTTTAGTGACCTTGAGCTTCAAGTAATCATTACGTACATAAACAATTTTAACTATTGATTCTTCTGTTGGCCTGTGGCCTATTGACTACGAAACAACATTTGTCAACCTTAGATAAGGAGCAAACCTCAAGTTATGAGTTTGTCACGGAAAATTTCTTGTAGTAAGCTAGTCATGGCTAACTAAGAATATAAATTCTTGAAGCTTCCTGTTTAGCATATTCTGTAGGTTTCAAGTACTGAGGTTAAATCCCAAAATGATAATAACAACATATTTTACATAAGCTACCCCAAAAGAGAGAATTTATCTAATTTTTTAACTAATTTAACATTTGGAGCTAGAACTAGCTAAAATAACATGCATTTTCCTTTTCCCCGAATCCTGAATTACAAGGATGCAACAGAATGCTACAAGCCTACAACTAACTTATATGTGCTCATTTTTCTAACCCTTTTCGATTTCAAAGCATAAAAGGACTAGATGAATAAACAGAAAGCTAATCCTTCAAAATAAGTTAGTTCTCTATTCCATTCATACTGATTATAAACTGGGAGAAACTGAATCCAAATCAACTAGGCAAACCCAGTGGATACTAAGGGTTTGCTTGGGAGATGGGTTTTGGGAGGAAAGGGAAGGGAGGACAAATTTTATATTTCTAATAAATATTCTCTGAAGAATTTTTTAAAATGATATTAATCTTTTTTATTTATATATTCATAAAAAAATATATATATATTTTTTTTAACTTTATATAACTCTTAACTCAAGATTTTTTTTTTCCTTTTCTACCAAAACCTCACTCTCAAACATATGCTAAAGGACCCAAGAAGAGGCTTTAGGAGATAGAGTAAGTTAGAGGAGAGAAAAAAACAGATCAGATGAGATTTGTTTATATAGGAAATTTATCGCATTGAAAATGTTAAGAGTGTGTATTTGACATCCTCTGCTAATTCTGTTTTGTGCTTAATCTGTCTACGGAGAGGATTTGTCATCTATCATAAACATTGATGTCACAACATTAATTTCTGTTTGTTAGTATGCTTCTACAAAGTGTCTGGAAAATGTAATATTTTTCTATGTTTGGGGGTGGGCTACATCATAATCCGAGTATGGTTCATTGCTTTCTGTTTATGATGGATATACCCATTAGATAGATATTTAGGTTGATTTGTTGAAGAAATATGGCGTGTTTCTTATAAATGAGAGGTAAGGTAAAACAATATATTTTTTCTCTCATTTGTGAAAGAATTGAGACCTTTGGTATTGGCTGGAAGCTTTGCAAGCTAAGCATTATATTCAAGGGACAAATCCCTTATTTTTTTCTCTTAAGATGCCACGTTTCTATCAGTATATGAATAGGAAGGAAATGTTTTAAGTTCTCATTTGATCATTCTCCTCTAGCTTTGTTGCCATAAGTCAATTATATGAATGACTACTTTCCTTGAATGTTTTGGCTTCTTATAAATAAATCCAAGTCTGTTATTTAACAAATATAAATCATGTTTATTTTGCTGATTTTTTTCCATGTAACTTCTTGCTTCAGATCTCTTGCACATCTTTTCATTCTTGCCTCGGGATCTAAATTTCATTGAGCATACAAGTAATATTGGTTGGAAAGAGTATGTATATTATCTCTCCTTTGATACTGTGTCGGTTTGTTGCTAAAGTATTTGTTCATGATTTTGCGTACCTGTAATAACTATGGCATCAGGCATCAAAGAGCTAGACCTATCGTTATAGATCCAGGCTTATATCATTCCAAGAAATCTGGTGTTTATTGGGCTAAAGAGAAGAGATCTATTCCTTCATCGTTTAAGATATTCACAGGTATTAGTTATAGAACATTTCTGCAGCCTTGACTTTCTAATTTTCTACTAGGTCCTAACAATATCCCCATTTTTCTCTCTTCTTCTATGTGTGCTTCTTAAGTTTCTCTTATGCAACTCCCATTCTATCTTTTATGTTTTTTTTTTTTTATTATTTCATAGTCTTCAAGATGACTAGGGGACGAGGCATGGTGTAACAGTGAAGTTGCACCTTGCTGACCAGTTAGTCATGGCTTTTATTAGGAAGCAGTCTCTTTGCATATATGTAAGGGGATGAGTGTGTACAATTCCCCTCCCGAGAAGCCTATGGCACTTGGATACCTCAGTTTTTTTATTAGTATTTGTGAATAATTTTATTCCCATTGAACTTAGTTGTTTTACCTAATCGTATTTTGTGGCTTCTATCCAGGATCTGAGTGGATTGTCCTGACAAAATCGTTTCTTGAGTTTTGTGTTTGGGGTTGGGACAATCTTCCTCGCACTCTCCTCATGTATTACACGAATTTTCTTTCATCGTCTGAGGGCTACTTCCATACGGTCATTTGCAATCATAAGGACTATCAAAACACGACAATAAATCACGATTTACGTTATATAAGGTGGGACAACCCGCCAAAGCAGCATCCATTGTTCTTGAAGTTGGAGCATTTTGATGAAATGGTCCAAAGTGGTGCTCCTTTTGCTCGGAAGTTTGCCAAGGATGATCCAGTTCTTGATAAAATTGACAAGGAACTCCTGGGAAGATCAAATGGGCACTTTACACCTGGAGGTTGGTGTCTTGGCAGTCCTATTTTGGGAAAAGACCCTTGCACAGTTTATGGAAGTCCAATTGTAATTAAACCTACTTTACGATCAAAGAAGCTAGAAAAACTAATGGTGAAACTATTAGATTCTGAAAATTTTAGGCCGAAACAGTGTAAATAGTCATCACTGCCACGTGAAATTTCAATACACGATTCTATAGCCGTTTTTATTGCATCTGTTCAAATTTAACATTATGAATCGCTATGAAACGTGCTTCTTCTAGTATGTGAACCTATGTAGGTCTTATCAATTCAAACCATGGATGATGAACCTTTGGTTTTACGAGAAACTTTGGCTCCCTTTGAAGCATAATGTGGTAGAGGACAAAGAAGCAATAACACAACCATATTAGATGGGTAAGACATGTTAATATAAAAATTGAATCAGAGATTTATCAATAGGGGTGTGGCTACGCTTAGATGGGTGTGAGTAGTGTGTTAGTGTCGAAAATGCATCGGAAGTTTGTTCCGTATGTATGACTAAGCCCATATGGACATGGAAGACATCTAATATATAAATTATATTAGAGATTCGCCTACAAAAGTGAGAGGCATGCTGATATAGCATAAGAGATTTTGCTCACTTGGGTGTGAGAGTTTCATTGGTATAAAAATTACATCAAAGGTCTGTCTAGAAGGGTGTAGTTGTGCTTATACGAGTGTAAGAGGTACACCAGTAAAGAAATTGCATCATGGGTTCTCCCTCAAGGTTGTGGTTACACCCACATGGGTGAAAGATACGCTGTATAGAAATTGCTTAAGAGATTCACGCATATGAGTTTGGTTGGTTGCACCTGCCTCTCATCGTGTTATAACACGTGAGTGAATCCGATTTATCATAGGTTTGAGTTTGGTTAAATTCGATATTTCCCTTTTTATCAAATATCGGTTAAAATAAATCTAATTCACTTAATCTATAAATTAAACGGATTCAAGTCGAATTATTATGGATTGACCCACAATTCACAATATATTAAATTTTAAAAATAATTAATAAGTTAATAAAAATCTAATTTCGATCATTCATATTATCATGTATTCACATCATTACAAATCAATAAAGTCATATTCATTCAAGGTTGTTGTAGATGTGTCGCTCGTTATCCGTCGCATTCACCTAATTTGTCACGTCCTTTGTGTCCACCACCACGTTAGCCTACCTCCATTACATTTACCACTTTTGTTGCGTCCATCATCTCTATTACATTTGTGTCTCCAACCTTGTTTGTTGTGTTAGGAAATCTGATGGAGACATGACCATGAGTAAGGGTAAGGATCTACTTGAAAGACTTTGAGGACCTATGACAAGAGCTAGAGCAAGGGAAGCAAATGAAGCTTTTCAACAAATATTGTCCATATTATTTGAATACAAGCCCACATTTCAAAGAGAAAATATCAAAGTTTTGAATTGCATCATGACCCAAATGGAGGAAAAATAATGCATCACTTTGTTTCAGCCTTTAAGTTTGTTTAAATAATGGCATAATTCTTTGTAAAATTGGCTGACCAAATTATGTTTTTGGTTAATCAATTAATGGACTTTAGTTTGATTTTGTTTCAAGTTATAATAAGGGTCCAATTGGAAACTTAGGTATCAGCCTTTGGGAGACCAAGAGGATGCATAACTGATTGACTTTTGGTTGTTACAATTTCAGTTACAATCAACCATTAAGTAGTTTTGAATTTCTAAGTTAATGAGTCATTATTGGCATTTATTTGCCTCTATTAAGTAGTTTTCAATTCCTAGATTAACGGATCATTATTAGTATTTATTTTCCTTTATTGAGTCTTTGTAACTCTGATGGCAAAGCTTCTACATAAGCTAAATCATTTTTATCAAAAATAAAGTTGAGTTTTATTCAGAAATATTAGAGTTTATCTCTTTTATCATAGTGAGAGTGATTCTCCTAAGTTCTTGAGTGATTAAAGAACCTTTGAATGTATCAAAGGACTTTCACATCCTTTGTGAATTGCCTCCCTTGGGAAAAATAATTTTTTCCTTTAACCTTTCACATTCACCTCTTATCCTTTCTTCACCAAAAATCCAAAAATCTCAATTTTGTCCAGATTTATTTCATTGTCATAACTTTCGTTCTATTTGTCCAAATTAAGGGTTTCTTGAGCCTAAATTGAAATTCAGAAAGAGAACTTTCATCTTGTTTTTTAATCACCTCAATCGAAGTTTTATAACTTAAGATATCATCGTTTCAAAAATATTGTCAACCCTGAAATTTTCACTACTTTCTAATCCACATTTTTAGTAATTTCATAAATTTCTTACAAGATTCTAACCCTAAAGATCCTAAGTCAGCCCTTGTGTAAATGGGATTTATATCATTTGGTATTCAAAGCTTCAATTTAAGGGTTTGAACGTCAAATTGTCTTTCTTGTCTACCTAGCCTTACCGTGCAAAAATATTGGAGGATTGTTCTTTGTTGTGGCCATAATCTCTTGAATTGCCAAAGAACCTAAGGAGAATTTGAGTGGTAAAAGGCAAGAGTGTTTTTATTAGAGGAAAAACCATAATTGTGTGATACACTTGAGTGTGGTGAGGTTACAATATTTTTTTATTATTGCGTTTAATCTATTTATTGTGATGGCAGAGGAGGAAAATTACAATCAAGGAGCATGAATTAGTCCACTCCAAATGAGGGCATTGATACAATATTTGGAAGGATTAATGATACGACATAAAAATGAGCTCTATGAAATATTGAACTGGTTGGAGAATAGAGATCCCGAAGATGAAGAAGAAAGGAGAAATAGGAGAATGAATGATGGAGTAGCAAGACCAAGTAGGCTTGAAGGAGTCAAACTTAACTTTCCTCCGTTCAAAAAAAAAAGTGAGTCGGAGGTATACTTGGAGTGGGAGATGAAAATAGAGCATGTTTTCTCATGCAACAATTATGAAGAGACCCAAAAGGCGAGGCTTGCAGCAACGAAATTTTCTGACTATGCTCTTGTTTTGTGGAACAAGTTACAAAAGGAGAGAGTTAGAAATGAAGAGTCAATGGTTAATACATGGACTAAGATGAAAAGGATCATGAGGAAGTGGTGTGTGCCGACTAGTTACTCAAGGGACTTGAAATTCAAACTCCAAAAACTTACTCAAGGGAACAATGGGGTTGAGGAGTATTTCAAGGAAATAGACATGTTCATGATTCAAGCAAAGATTAAAGAAGATGAAGAGGTAACTATGACCCGATTTATTGGTGGTTTGAATATTGATATATGTGATATTGTTAAGTTGTAGGAGTTTGTTGATATGGAGGATTTGCTTCATAAAGCAACTCGAGTGGAGCAACAACTCAAAAGAAAAGGAGTGGCCAAGAAGAGTTCTACCAACTTTGAATCTTCAAGTTGGAAGGACAGAGGCAAGAAAGATGGGGATGCTACTTCTAGTAGTTCCACACCTATTTTTGTAAAGACTCCTTCAAAGTCCCAAGAAAAACCCTCTAAAAGAAGTAGAGATGTGAAATGTTTCAAGTGTTAAGGCCCAAGACACTATGCTTATGAGTGCCCTAACAAGAGGTCCATGGTTCTTAGAGAGGGAGAATATATAAGTGAATCTAAGGTTGAAAAGAGAGAGAATAGTGAGGACATAGAGGAGGAGGAGACTCTAAAGGCAGATTTATTAATGATTAGGCGATTACTTGGTAGCCAATTAAAGCCTATGGAAGAAAGCCAAAGAGAAAATATCTTTCATAGTAGATGTTTAATTAATGGCAAGGTGTGCATAATGATCATAGATGGAGGTAGTTGCACTAATGTGACTAGTGCTAGATTAGCGTCAAAGCTAAATTTAGTTACTAAACCACATCTTAGGCCTTATAAACTTCAATGGCTTAGTAAGGATGGAGATGTGCAAGTGAGACACCAAGTTGAAGTGGACATTTCCATTGGAAAATACAATGATATAGTGCTTTGTGATGTTGTTCCTATGGAGGTCAGTCACTTACTTTTGGGGAGACCATAACAATTTGATAAAAGAGTCAATCATAACGGGTTCTCCAACAAGATATCTTTCATACACCAAGACGAGAAGATTATGCTCAAACCATTGAGTCCACAAGAAGTGTGTGAGAATAAAAAGAAAATGAGAGAAAAACTTCTTCAAGAGAAGAGAGAAAAAGAAAGCGTGAGTGAAACACTTAAGAGGAAAAAGAATGAGACACTTGAAGTGAGGGAAAATTATTTAGCCACAAAAAGTGTGTATAATGTTAGTTTTACATTCAATATGTCTACCTTATATCTTTTTTATGTAGATGACAAATCCTTCTTAAGACGGAGAGAATGATGGAGACATGACCATGAGTAAGGGCAAGGATCCACTTGAAGGACTTGGAGGTACTATGACAAGAGCTAGAGTAAGGGAAGCAAAGGAAGTTGTTTAACAAGTGTTGTCCATAATATTTGAATACAAGCCCACATTTCAAAGAGAAAAGATCAAAGTTATGAATTGCATCATGGCCCAAATGGAGAAAAAATAATGTCACTTTGTTTCAGCCTTTAAGTTTGTTTAAATAATGGTCCAATCCTTTGTAAATTTGGCTGACCAAATTATATTTTTGGTTAATCAATTAATGAACTTTAGTTTGGTTTTGTTTAAAGTTGTAATAAGGGTTCAATTGGAAACTTAGGTATCAGCATTTGGGAGACCAAAATGATGCATAGTTGATTGACTTTTGATTGTCACAATTTCAGTTACAATCAACCATTAAGTAGTTTTGAATTTCTAGGTTAATGGGTCATTATTGACATTTATTTGCCTCCATTAAGTAGTTTTCAATTCCTAGATTAATGGATCATTATTAGTATTTATTTTCATTTATTGAGTCTTTGTAACTCTAGTGGTCAAGCTTCTACATAAGTTAAATCATTTTTATCAGAAATAACAAGTTGAGTTTTATTCAGAAATATTAGAGTTTATCTATTTTATCTTAGTGAAAGTGATTCTTCTAAGTTCTTGAGTGATTCAAGAACTCTTGACTGTATCAAAGGATACTAACATCCTTTGTGAGTTGCCTCCCTTGGGAAGAGTGATTTTTTCCTTCGATCTATCACATTCACCTCTTGTCTTTTCTTCACAAAAACCCAAAAATCTCAATTCAGTCCAGATTT